TTTTTAATCCACTGATATGGAATATGGCTAACATGCTCTAGCCAAACATATTTTGAGAAAAGTTATAGATTTCTATCAAGATCTAATAACTATTCTTCAGAAGTACTGGAAAAATTTGATTTGATGAACACCTCACACGGGACACACGAACACATCCTAAGCACAGATTTAATCTGTGCAAAAACACATCCCAAAGTAAAATTAATAAATATCAACTACTGCTTCCTCATAATAAATTGATTTTTGTGCAACCTGAGACCATTTTTGAATCTAGCACACCCTAATCCAGTCTTTCCCAGTCTAGTGCTTTCCAAGTGTTTTATACTACAGCTATCGTCTTTACAGGCTAGATGTGACGGAGGTTATTATACAAAACGACTGGAAGACACCAAATTGGGGAAGGCTACACTAATCTGAGCCGCTATAACATTTTCTCCACTTCATCTCAATTCTGAGATTTAAAAAGAAAACAAACAAAAAATAACTCCCAGTCTGAGATTTGTAATAATGCTAGACAATGGATTTCTATATCCTTGCTTTTCTTTTTCTTTTACATTCAGTAATAAAGAATTCCTATTAGTGAAAAATGTTCTTCATTACTTTGAGCTGTGTTCATTAATTCAAATAAAGAGGTATAATCCCCATTGCTTGGATGCCTTTTTTTAAAATGGATCGGTAAGTCTAAGTACAATTTTCAGATAAAGTTGAGATTGGATCTACACAGCAGCCTTTCAAATGGTTGCATTTTCAATGATATAGATAAATCAGAAGCTGGTCGGCAGGATATGAACAGTATCAATTCTGTCTTTCAAGTAGAATCAAATGTTATTCTAATCAAGAAATCAGCCAATTCAAAAACCAAATTCAGCTTTTTGATGGGCAATTCAATGAGAATTGAAGGTAAGAGTTCACAGGTTCAAGAGTCTGGAGCTGAGCTGGCATGGAACTTTGTTTTTAGTGTGCTTTTCCAAACTTCTTGTTTTTAGAAAACATTTTTGTCAACCTTCCTCCATTCTGCTATGGTCCCCCACTCACTGCAGAGCATTCTGGAGTTGTTGCAGGGTGCTGTCCAAGCTATTAGTGTTCAAGACCCAGATATGGGTGATACACAAGCCTGAAATAATATTAGCATCATTTTTAATGTTTAAAATAGATGGCATAAAAGGATGCCCAAATGCAAGTTAAAAGCTTGGTATTCTCTTTAAGAGTGCAGAAGAGAGGACTCTGGCAGAAAACAGCTTTCTAGATGACACATTCTCTTTTACAGTATAACACACATTTATAATTAAAAAAAAATATTCCTGGATGCCAAAAGGACAAGCTAAAAGGATGGACACACATAGCCAGAAAAGAGCACCCTTAATATCAATAGCTGTACTTCTGGTGGGTCTATAAAAATTATTTTTTCTTTATAAAACCTGATTTGGAAAAATTACGATGTTGCACTTTAAGATGAACAGACACACAGCGTTTCTTCTAAAGTTCAGTATCTCTTACTGATGCCATTTATATTCAAACCCCATATCTAATTTTAACCAGAAGAGGCAGTCTATGAATATTTATGGGCACTTCACATTATCTGATGCGACGCAAAATACTATTTAGAGCCTTTCTCAGTTTAGTCCTGCCCAGGCTTCTGAGATTGCTATTTCTATCATCCATGCTGCAATATGTTGTAGAGGACACCACAAAGTCTAATCCCAAAATAGCTTCTAGTTAAGAAGCATGAAAATGTGTAATTTCCTGAGCGATAATCATATTTATCTGTGCAGTAGTAACATGTTTTTTACATGATAAGATTCTGGGGACTAGAAATTCTTAAGGACGAGTTCACACAACATGGTAGCCTACGCTAAAATAATGTTGGGTGGTTCAACAACTCCGCATGCGGATGGTCGGGTTGCCTGGTCTGATGGAAGCAGCCAGGGCGCCAGATACGTGTCATTTAGTTGCGGCTGAATATAAGAGGGAAGGAGCACCGCTATTGTGCGCCCTGTTTCGCCTTGATACTTCTCCTCCCGCCCGGTTTATTTTTTTCCTCGCTCGAGGCGCCGGCCGCTTTGCGCCCAAGCAGCCACGC